TTGCTAGAAGGCTAACACACGATAAGTCATTTCATACTTTGTGACTCTATTGTCCTGATGACAAAGTTTATCTTAAACTCTCTTTTACACATATATCAGTTCATCTTTGTTCCCTACCAACCAAAAATGAATAATATGCTTGTTTTGATCATTCTAAAGTAATAATAATAACTTTATTTATAGAGCACCTTTTAAAAACACAGGTTTACAAAGTGCTTTGACAAACAGCAAGAACAAAGCAAACTAAACCAAACACAGAAGAACATTAACAACAGTAAGAATATAACAGATGCAAAATACTAAAAATAATTAAATACAATTCAACAGAAAAGAACCCAAAGTGGACGATACACAACCAGACATATATAACCCGACCATCACAAGAACCATCATAAGAACCCAGGCAACACAAGAACCCGACAACACGAGCTGAGACCAAGAGGACCAGAGATTTAAAAAGATGTAAGAAACTAAGAGATAAAAGCAAATAAAAAGATAACAGCAATAAGAAGGTAAGAGCAGTAAAAGAAATGAAAACAAGTGGTTAAAGGATCAAAAAACCCAAAACTATAATATTAATTTAAATAAAAAGTCAATATAAATATGAAACATAAATAGACAAAGTAAGACAAACAGTATTACCTCAGAGTAAAGTCAAAATAAAGCTGGGCTCACATGAAGGTAGTGGGTGTGGCTTTCAAAAACAAATGAAAAGGCTGGATCCAAATACTGCAGAGGAAAAATATGAGCAGGTAAACTACAGGTGTTTGTTGTGCATGTTAATAAACCGAATTCAACGTCATTGATATGCATTTAATTCTTCAGTTAATCAGATACTGCGATGTTATCATTACATGAATTGTCTTGCTATATATTTAGTTATAGCAGAATCATTGTATCCCGATTTAACATTAGTGGGCCATGTATTGTGTATTGTATGTAACACAAATCAGCTTCAAATAAAGGCATGAGGCCTACTGCAAATATGGTAAATGACATAATTACAGAAACACATGTCTGTTTATGTTACACCGGATGTCTGTTTGGAAAAGACAGGAGCATTCACAGTCCTCACAGACATGTTCAGATGATGCAATTTGCATATCTCTCAGACTCCGGAGGCTATGCAAAAATACTGTGAGCTGAGTTAAACATGAATTTTGAGTCTCTCAACTACAGTCTAACCATTTTCCCATTTTGTCTCACCTGTCCTGTGCTGTCTTTCAGTCGGGAAACATATAACACCCTAACCAACTGGCTGACAGATGCACGGACTCTGGCCAGCCCTAATATTGTTATTATCCTGTGTGGCAACAAGAAAGACCTGGATGCAGACAGAGAGGTGACCTTCCTGGAAGCCTCACGCTTTGCTCAGGAGAACGGTAAATAATGAACAACTTGCATCATCCCATATTTTGCGTGTCCCCCTTTTTCTTAAATCCATGGTCTCTATGATTCTGTATGCTTCTTTTAGTTATCTTTAAGTCTTTCTTAATATTTATTTTTTTTGCCCTTTTAAACTCATGTAGAGCTGATGTTTATGGAGACAAGTGCTCTGACGGGGGAGAATGTGGAGGAGGGTTTCCTCAAGTGTGCTCGCACCATCCTCAACAAGATAGAGTCAGGTACACTTCTTGTTTCTTTGTTAAAGAGGTGTGTCTGATCTGGGCATTTCTTTGAGTGTGTGCAATTGTTTGCTTGTATTTACCCATGATCCCTTGGGGGTTTGCCTTTAATTGTCTACGCTGCTACCTTCTTTCAAAAGGTGAGTTGGACCCGGAGAGGATGGGATCAGGTATACAGTATGGAGATGCTTCGTTGAGGCAGCTGCGACAGCCGAGGGGCACCACCACACAGAATAAGCAGCAGTGTAATTGCTAGGGATTGAGGGGCCACACCCTCACCTCAGCCAACAGGCCCACACAGACAGGACGCCCCCTTCAGGTCGGTAGCATTACACCTCGATAGGTTCAAATAAGAGACTGTATGTCAAATCTGTGTCAGTGTTATCAAGAGCATGTCAGTGATCACCTTTCTCTCTCCGTTTCTCCTCCCACATCTCAGCTCCAGGTGTTTTTTGGTGTGTGGGACCCTTCTCTCTGCAGTCTCACAGACCTCTGATCACCTGGAGGAGTGATCCCGGAGATCACCACAACCCTGTTACCCTGTTGCCCTTGCGTTTGGGCAGGTAAGCCCCTCAGTGCAAACGTGCTGGGATCGATTAAGAAGAGGGATGTTCTTCTTTCAAAAAAAAAATGCTTTCTCAGTTATTTACCAGACAAGGAGGGTTGTGTGTATGGGCTGTCCTGCTGTTTTGTTTTTATTTCTGTGCTTTTTCATTCTGATTTTAGTTACCCTGACATGCTTTCTTCATTTGCACATCAATGTTTTTAAATTATTTTTGGTTAACTTTTTTTTGCACTTATTCATCATTTAAGTACTTAAAGGGGGTCCCCTTAAAACAAAGACAACTGTCACAATTTTTGGTTTTAAACTGTTGTACATATATTGTGAGCCTGATTCAATGCAAGTCTTTGCAAATATTTCTCAAGCTATTCAATCCAAATGGAATCAGTTAATCGGATATTTAAAGTATACTTAAAACTCTGAAAGTTCCACAAGCCCAAATGTAGAGCCCCGTTCCTTTCCTCACTCAGAAATGTGTGTTATATTGAGTCATTTGACTTTTTGGTCAGCATTTAATTGCACTATTCAGACATAGGCTGTTGGCCTTAGTAATATACTTAATTATGTGGATTTACAGTATATTATTCCAAGTTACCGTGTGTCTATACTGTCTAATCACTCCATTTAACACCTACATATATACGTATTAGCCTGTGGGCCCAGTTGAAAGCACAAAAAAATGAGATAAAGCTCTTTTATTTAACTCCAAAGTTCCGCAGTCTGTAGATTCATGTTCTCAGATTCAGCTCTCAGTGTCTCTGGTCCTGCCTCAGTGAAAGGTTAAGAAATGCTCATCAATGTTTGCAAACCTAAAATGCCCGTGACTCCTCCTGCTGGGCTTTTTCTCCATATTCTCGACCTCCCCTTGAATTCATGCCACACATTCTGTATGAGGGATGTCACAGGAAACCACATCTGATTTTGCCTCAGAACCAAGTTTGGGAAACTTTCATTCAGCCCACCCATGTTCCCTCAAAGAGTCTTTACACTGTTTGATCATGCAAGATTGTAAAAGCACCTTGATCTATTTGTAGAGAACAGAATGTCTGCACGGCTAAACTGTCACGGAGTTTGCCCAGATGTTTTCTCCTTAGAACAGAACCCTGTGTTTGCCCCAAGAGAGAAACAGGGAATTTCCAATGAAACATGGTTTCCACTTTCCGTGTTACACCGACAGCATGGTTTGTGGTGCCTCTGGAGGAGAGAGTTGATGGCTTTCAAAACGTCCCCGAAACTCTCCTGCTTTTCCGAACTGCTGAGTGCAGGACGCGCTGACCCAGTCGAGAGGAGATAGAAACAAACTGCCGGCAAAGCTTCGTTCATACAGTATATCTTCAATTCAAGTGTTCACATACGTCCTCCCAGAGAAACTGTGTGCGTTTTCAGCCAGCAAATGTTTGAGGGAAAAACATGTTGAGTTGTGCAAGCATGGAAAAGTGCAGGATACCAAGAGACGGATGGTCAAAAAAAAAAAAAAAAAAGTAGTTTTCATTCAATATTGGCATCGTGTGATAATTTGTCTCCTTCTGCAAGTGCACTTTTACTTTTGAATTTTCATGTTTTGTTTGTTTATATGCTGCAACTATAGAATTGTACATTTTATTTTACTTGAACAGTATACTGTAATAAAGATTTTAATTGTAGATTGTTATCATTTCTTACTGAAGAACAACTGAGATGCTTATTTGAATTTCCTTGTTTGTGCTGCCACGAGGCAGGACTGCTGTAGTGGTGATAACCTCCTGCTGTCTGAGCTTTCATCTGTTTATGACCCACTGCTGTGGTGGAGGTAGCGATGAAAGGATGTCGACTTCCTGAGCTGTGTGGGAGGCCGTTTGAAGTGCTTATATACTGTGGAATAAGAGCTTCTTCAGTTTGTTTTTATTCACCTGTAGTGTTTTTATTGTACAGTTCAAAATAGCCATATGATGCACAATATTTTCTCACTTCCACTCTTAGTCAATCATTTAATGAAGGAAATATAACTCAGCTGTTGCTTAGTAACTGTTAAATAATCAACCTGAAGTCTACTGTACATCTTAAGCAACCTATACTGTAAATACATTTTGTCTATTGAGGTTGAATGTTGAATAATTATGCAATTCCCAGTAAACTGCTTGTATTTTCATTTAAGCGTTATATTTGTTTGGTCTCTAAGCTTCTATAGGATAAGTACATTATTTCCTGAATGCAGGTTAACCTCACATTTCCTCCTTTCTGTGTCAGCAACAAAGCACATCTGTTTTTTTTTACAGGCAACAGACTTAACAGAGCCTGAAATTTCACAACAGACTCCATGAACGTGATTCATTTGCCTCATTGTCCATTCTTTAGTCATATCATTCCTCTTGCAGGCAGGCGGTCAGGGTTAGGTTAGGATTTCAGTGGACTTGGATGATGAAGAGTAAATGCCCTCCGTGTCCAATTGTCTGGATTTATGTTCTTGGGTCGATGGAGCAATGGCTAGAGTGGTTTAATGTAGCGGAAGTGGATATATTGACTGATTTATTAATCTTACACCGGCTGTCAAGATGACCTCATAACAAATAGGAAGAGTCCATGTCTAACCACAAGGTGGTGCTGTAATATTAGCCAATCAAATCCATTTTCTGTATAGAACGCAATTTCACATACCAGTAATACATTTTTTACAAGTGAGTCAGTTGTTTTCTTTAAGTGTAAAAGTCAACAAGTACATTAATGAATAATCAATGGAATAATTGTGTCAACAAAAAAAATAATGAAGACCTGAGATCTTAACAAGATGTCCTGTTTTACAGATGATTAATCATGAATTTGAAGCAGACACAGTCTTTGTATTCATCCGTTTGTTTTTATTTACATATAATGGGACATATTGATGTGGGTAACTGAATCAGACAGTAATACATACAATCACATCATTCATCAAAAAACTCACACGGGACAATAAGGAATGCAGTTCATATTTCACAAATGCCAAATCATTAGAAAAAAAAAAAATACAAAAGTTGAACAACAGTAACATTTGAAACCACCTTTGACACCCTGATGACTGGTTGGAGGAAGTAGGCTACGCTAGATAATGTCAATCATTAAAGTCCAGCAAACAGATATGAATAAAAGAGGATTGTGTTGGCCAAAGTTCATGAAACGTGTTTAAAAGCAAATTTATTTTATGGATCTTCAACAACAAATACTGCTCAGACAACATAATGAGCAGAACCACTCCTCGAGAAATGGATCTGTTCATTTCACAATATTCAACAAGATACACTGTATGTCCACACACATCATACAAAGCAAACTTCACAGCACTACTTCAGGTCAAATGTACTTTGTGTCCAGATCTTTTTCCATCTAAGTGCGCTCTGTTCTGTATGTTTATGTAGTAAGTTGCACAAGATGATGTAGACAATTAGCATTAAAAACAATTACAGCACCCAGAGAGTTGCCATCTGCACTCACATAACCTACACTGTTTATTCTCATCAGCTGTGAGGACGTCCGACACAGCACAGCTTGGCATAGCACACCATCAGAATGGCACTCAACCTGAGTACACTCCATTCAATTATGAACCTGCTGTGCTGGGTCAATTGCTCCAAAGGGCTTTCTAGATGTAGTTTGCTTGTACTGTGATCCAGAAATTAAATGAGCACAAGGCGTGACAACAAGTCTAATACCCCATCACAGGCAAGGTCATGGATTTAGAGATGGCTTGCACGGTCATAGTAAGTGCTCAGTGCTCGTGGATCATTATAGGCGGTCTCTCTTTATACAGGGTGCTTGCTAGTTAAAGTAGTGCTGTTATATGAAAGTTGGAGTTGGATATTAAAGGGAGGAGAGGACGAGGGCAGGAGAACGCAGAGTTACTGCGGTGATTCTGAACAGCAGATGTGAATGCAAAGACCAACTGGTTACCACTTGAATTGTTCCGCAGCCTCTGGGGAATGTTAATTGTAACTTAGGTGGTCTATACAGATCCCCAAGCAGAAAAGCATCCATACATTTAAGTCTACTCATTTTTTTGTTCCACGGTAACAAGTAATTTCCAGATGTTTTTTTTGTCGAGATCTTGACTTCTTCATCTCGTCGTCTCCAGATAACAACCCTGGGTTTTCAAATATAAGTTTATTTCCCAAGATCTTGAGAAGATGAACTTGTAATCACCAGTGTTGTTATCCAGAGTTAATGAGATGAAAGAGTTATCATCTAGGAAAAACAGCTGATATTTACTCGTCATCATCGAAAACCAAGAACAATTAAATGGAAGGATGCGTGTCCTCTTAGTGTTCTGTATATGAAATGTTAACATGTTGAAATGTATAGATTTATAAGGGGTATCTTCATTAGCAGTGCAACAGTTATATACAGACTGCTATAACAAACAGGTTCAATGAACCTCCATCTACGTATGCATAATGTAAACAATATTTCTATTTCTAAAAACATGCCTCCTGAAGTTGTGTCTTAAGTGAGGTCTGCTGAGTAGAGAAGGGAGGCCTTTTACAGAGACACCGGCACAATGAGTAGGTGGGTTTGGGTGCCAGGGCAGCAGTAAGGTAGGAAGGATGGTTCTCCATTTTTCTACTCAAGCGACTGGAGCATGAGGAGCTGCTTGAGGACCTTGGTCTGGCTGGTCTCCCTGATCTCTCCTGCGAGAAACATCTCATCCACCACCGTGTACACCTTCAAGACGAGACACAGAAATTAAAACAGCGGTTCTCAAACTTTTTAAATACGAGTTTATTTTTGTAATAAATGTACAGCCTAGCATCACTTGATCGTTACATTTCTTTTTTTATAGAAACAATAAGCCATTCAAAGAGGTACAATAGAGAACAGTGTGTCTGAGTAACTCAACTTTGTGACTGGAAAACACTTAAAGTCAGCTGGCTTAATATAACCTTAAGCTTATATCTCTCTGCTATAGAACAGCAACACTAAATTAAAATGTAGTGTTTTTTCTGGGGTGCCTGAAGCCTAGTGGTTGAGTGCACATCCCACAAACGGAGGCCGTAGCCCTCCAAGCGTGCGGCCCATCCAACCTGCGGCCGCATGTCATTCGCCCCTCTCTCTGTCCCTGATTTACTACTCTATCCACTGTCCTATCTCTACAATAAAGGCCTAAACTCACCAAAAATAAAGAATAAAAAACGTTATCTGTATTTCTTTGACACTGAAAGCATTTTAAAAGGCACTGTTTTCATCTTTATTTTCAGCTCTAGCCCTGCTAGGGTTCAACCACAAATCTATTTTCTTGACCATCATTCAACATCGACACTGGCTTTGAGTAAACATAAACATGACAATCACAGTGCTAGATCATGTTGCTTGTGTTGCAAACGTTGACTGGACACAGCAGTCAACCATTGCAGGGAAACAAGAGATATCAGAAAATTTGATCCTTTGAAACTGACATTTAATTTTTTGGTTTTAATTACTTTTTTTTTTAGGAACTATCCATGACTGACATTTTTTAATTAACTTTTAGAAAACTCTATTCCAAAAAAATCCTCTGCAGTTCCTTAAAAACTGTGTTTTTTGGTCTGCTGTTTTAGAAACACTGTATTTGAGGCCAGACATTTCCTGACCTCGTGATCAAAGGAAATTAGAGGATTAAGGCAAGTTAGGGCTCAAATGAAGTACAAAGACCACAAAGCTAAGTGACCATATCTCCTTCCATGCACATGAAAGGGTTAAGTTTCCTGTTCAACTATACAACACAATGAGAAGTCATCTGGTCTGTGGTCAGCGTTACTTATTTCTTCCACCCGTCTGTGTCATCAAGGTGTAAAAACAAGTGATGAGCAGATGACAAGTGCTAACTTTAGCAACATTTAATAAACATCACAGACAAGGAATGAATCAGTGGTTCTTGACACACATCTGAGAGAATTGGGTAACTGAGCTTGTGAAATAGTATTAGCCTGAGAGCAGCAGTACATTATGATGGATTAGAAAATAGGGGCGGCTGTGATGAAACTGGAAATTCCTCACATAGTCGAAAAAAAATGCTAGTTTCAATTATTTACGACACATCAAACATGGGAGGGGTTCTGTTGGGAGTCCGTTTGGACTGATGTTCAGACATCTTGGAAATGTGTAAAGGCCCTCGATACAGTAAAAGGGAGGTGTTCCTGAAGTGATTTTGATGAGTCGCTATAAATGAAATTTGTGTCAGTTGCCATGGCATTGTAATGAAAGAATATCTTATTTTCCTTTTGTACTTCTCTGCCTCTTCTGTCTGATTACGGTGTTTATATAATGATAGGAAACTCTCTTAAGGTAAAAATATTCTAGCAGCGTCCTTACCTTGTAGAAATTGAACACAAGGTCCAACTCACACACGTTGTGGAAATACTCATTCAGCACCTGAAAAGAATAAGGAACAGTGAGACATTCAAACTTTTAATGCACTCACATGTCAGCCAGCAGATGACCTTATACACCCATTTGAAGAAACACAAAGAATGTATATTCATTTTATGTCTTGATGTGGAGCACTACAGCAGAAATGCACTGGTGCTGAAGCAGCTGCTGAATCCACTTAACATCCATGTAATAAGCTGATTTCCACTACAAGGACATCCATCTAAGATGTGCCGAATTAAAAACGTGTTTCTCGTCTCATCTCGTTTCCACAGGACATAATTTATAGCAGCGGCATAGTGACATTTACAATGGCAGAATAACCGACCCCTTGTTAAGAATTTGCTACAGTGCATATTAAAACACGCCGCATGAGGACCTGCTGTGGGCTGACGTGCAATTCATCTTAGTGCAAACTAACATGAGTAATATAACAAGAATCCAAAAAGAAATGAACGCTGTATTAATTTAAAAACGGATAATTTCTTCATTTTTAACAAGCAGCTAACAGCATTCCCTCATGGTCCACCATTACATTAAGTGAGCTTCACTGCTGAGGGAAATGCTCTTGTTATTCTCTGCACAAACAAACAGTAGATTTAATCTTAAACCCACAGTATTGGCTCACACTAATGGATATAAAAAGAATATGATCAGGAAAAAGCTTTTAATCAGCAATCAAGCAACAGACAGAACATGACACACGTTAACTGCCAAATGCGTCCACATATTCACCTGCATTTAAAAACACTGAATGCAATGCGGATTAAGTCATCAATATACTGTAATAAATGACAAATTCACAATTCAACAAGTATGACTACTTTACCACAATGAGCTCGAATTACACTCATTTGATTTTGTTTGAAGAACACATTTAATCAATAAATGAGAACTATTTCACTTTTTATATTAAATACACTTCAATTATTTTTTACACATACAGGATATGATCAGACCCATGGAAATCAGTGTTAGCCCAGCAAAATTACTACTTGTCAAATAAAATAAAATACACAGTATGTATGCACTATTCTTAAAGCATTAGCTTCTTCATGATAAGTATGTGTGTGTCTGTGTAGTTGCTGCGTGTTGTCGCAGTGGTCGGGCATGTAGCTGTTATCCGATTCTGTTTGTGATTTGTGATCAATTTGTTTAATTATTAATTAAGGTTTGTTTCCAGCGTCATTTGACCCAGCATTATCTTAAGAGTGATAAAAGTCAATAATAACACACCCTGAACTAAAGGATGGAGAATGACTCAGATTTTGTAGAAATAACATGTGTGTGTGTTTTGGATCTGTAATGAACTAGACAGTCACGCTTCATTGTTCAACTGTGGTTCATTTGTTTACTTTGCAATAATCAGACGAACCATATTGTAACCTGATATTTGTCCTTATGATTAAGAAAACTATGTGAAATCATATATATGTATCTTAAAATATATTATATATCATATTTGTGTCTGGCATCATAATCATTCGAGTGGTATGAAAGGCGACCTCACCACCACATAAAGGCTGCTAATGATGAAGGGAGATGAAGGTAGATCTGGAAGGAAACCTTTCTCCAGGAAATAATTCACATAAACCTGAGGCCTGACATAGTTTTGTGATGTGGTGTCAGTGGACAGTTAATTCTATCGAATTGACAAGACCCTGGGAGGACTCAGCTGAGGAAGCATTTGGAGGAAATAGCTTAGATACACAGATTTAGCTGCAGAAGCTGAAGAGCCAGGATGGAAAGTTAAAGTTTGTCTGATAAAGGTGGGATGTAGAGAGGGTTCATAGAATCATCAACCATCTCATTACTGGAGAGCTGGGACATAATTTGCGTAAGACGTCTAAGAAGATGCCAGATGAGGCAGTTAAAATATTGATTGAGGAGAAATAGTGCCAGTTTGGGGACAAAAAACAAAAATGAAATCCAGTTATGTCCTTTTTTTATTTTATTTTTTTTAAGGCTAGCCTGACAGGCTTGTCACCCTTGCTCTGCCTTCCTTGTCCATTTCTCACATCTGTCTACAGACTCTTCTTGCTGTTTTTGTAATGTTAGCACCAGGAATAGGCAGGGAAGGGGGCGGCTCTGGATACCGGAGCCATCTGTCGAGCCTTCCCAAGGTGTCATGGGCTCAACCTGACAAAACACCGGTGAAGGGAGGTGCCCACTTGATGAACCCGGTGTGTTGACTCATGCTACCCATTTAGTTTCACTGTTCTGGGGGGGGGCATTAGGGGCCATGTGATAGGGTAGATAGTTTTGGCATTGTGAATACATCAAGCTTGCATGTACAGAGCCTGGGTCTGTTGTGTGGACAGTGCTGTTTGGGTTGTGGTGGTCGCTAAGGGTGTGGGGGTCTTTTTAAGTGCTCATTCTTCTTATTAGGTCACAAGTATATTGTGTTTATTTTAAATAAAATATTGATTTCTTCCACTGAATATCCGCTGGCTGCAATCTTTACTTTTCACATAAATGCAGTTTCACGCTCTGGAGTTGAACAACAGGAGAGGGGAGAAAGGGAGCATTTTTGAAGGAAATCATTTACAGACATTCCTACAAACAATTAGACCTTGAAAAGTAATTCATCATAGTTCACTTGCTGCGTCCATATATCATGTGCTGTGTGTGTGTGTGTGTGTGTGTGTGTGTGTGTGTGTGTGTGTGTGTGTGTGTGTGTGTGTCAGTTACCTCTACAAAGTTGTGAATTCCCTCTAGGTATGCCAAGTTGTTATCAGTCACGTCCACACAAATACAGAAGTACAGTCCAGCATAACGCCTGTAAATGATCTTGAAGTTCCTGAACTGTGAGAACAAACACAAATAAAGGCTCTCAATAACTTTCCATGTTATAGCAATGACACCAAAGGTAAAATAAATCCATTACATTTCTAATATATTTGGAACAAACGTACATAGAAAACAAGATTAACAGAGCAGGATTTGGTTTCTGTTGGCAGTGGGTTTTTTTTAACAAATGCCTCCTACAGGGTTTCTTTTTTTCTATTTGCTTTGAATTTTGAATTATGGCTTGTTGACGTAACTTGTGAAAAATGTTTCTAATGTGGGACACAGGAGTCAGCCAATTACTTGTACAGTATGGTTTTTGTCATTCTGCTAGAGACTGCAGATGTAATTTATCTCTAAGCTAATTCTGGTACAAATATCATAACACGCAACATTGATGTTTGATATGATACATGATCCCATTAGAAACAAATTGAATTAAAAGTTCTAGAACAACCCCCCGCTCCCCACCGGATTGTTGATGGACGGCTTGCCTCCCCCCCAACCCCTCCTTGCTCCCTATCCCTCTTCCTGCATCTTATCCCATCTCTCCCCCTATCCCCTTCCAACCCCAGCACAGTCTAGGCCTGTGAAGGCTGTTCCGTCATAAGCCTGGGATCCGGCCGAAGATTTCTGCCTTTTAATAAGGAAGTTTTTTTCTTACCACTGTAACTTTTGCTGCTTTGCTAAAGTGCTCATGATGGATAGGCCGGGTCTTTGTAACATAGCAATAAGTAAGGTCTTTTACCTGCTTTTTGTAACATAACAATGAGTAAGGTCTTTTACCTGCTTTTTGTAACATAACAATGAGTAAGGTCTTTTACCTGCTTTTTGTAACATAACAATAAGTAAGGTCTTTTACCTGCTTTTTGTAACATAACAATGAGTAAGGTCTTTTACCTGCTTTTTGAAAAGTGTCTCGTGATAACACTTGTCATGAGTTGACGCTACACAACTAAAAATTGATTGATTGACTGATTGATGGTTCAAGGGAACATAACAGCATGATGGTTAAAGTCAGAAAACACTCGTGAATGTTGTTAAAAAAACAAAAAACGAATCCTGTACCTCCACAAAGTTGGTGTGCTTGGCATCTCTGACAGTTACCACAGCATGCACTTCTTCAATCAACTTCTGCTTCTCATCATCATCAAACTGCATGTACCATTTGGCCAGTCGCGTCTTCCCTGCTCGGTTCTGGATGAGGATGAAGCGGATCTATGGAGGGGGGAGAGGGGGAAAGGATGAGTGATGTGTTATACCCAACCCTAAACATACTGGAGTCATGCTACTTGTCCTGTCAAACATTTCTGAATGAGACATGACAACCAACAACGCCGCTTTGCTGACTATCAGATGTATATAAACTCAGTCATTAAATACTTCTCTGTAACTAACAGTGTGTCATATTCTGTGGTTTAAAGATAACTAAACTCCACCTGTTAGTTTGATAACACACCTGTGCATGACATTTTGTTAAAAGTCACATTTATTGTCGTTCAATCTGCCTTATGTAAATGTTTTTTTATTGTATCTGTGGTAATTAAACGTGATAACATATGTGTGGCCTAGTCTGCTGTAACAGCTAAGCTAACGTCACCAACAGGCTGAATGAGAAGGTTGACCCGCTAACTCCAGACATAAAAACCCAATATTGTTCAGTTTTTTTCACATATTTACCATTGTCGTCTCCTAAATATGACCCTTAGAAGCTCCAGAATATCACGTCCCTCGACAATTATACCACGATTTTACATAAAAACATCAGTAATTTCTTCGACCGCTTGTCCGCTACCCACAGCTAGCTTTACAGGAAGTGCCAGACCCAGTCGTAGTTCCGTTGCAAAGTGGTAAATGTAGTTTTTGTCACCACGTTTTAAAACCTTTGGAACGCAATGTTGCACTACAAAAACCAGCATCCTCCGGAAATGCCTCGTACTTTGGATCACATGAGGAGCTAAAGGGCAGTTGCTTATATTTTATCTATACCTAAAACATTTTTAAAACGAGTTTAAACAAAAAAAACACAGAAGATAATAATAAAATAAAGTTAACGACAACCGAAACATTTATTTTTTTTATCAACCTCTTTCCAACAATATGTCTGACATATCACATAAGTTTTATTAAAACTGATAGTCTAGGTATGATTAGGATATTAAATTAGAAATACTGCAGAATTGTGCACCGGAAACATCATCAAGATTACGTTTATCATATAAAGTTGAGTATTTTCTACTACAGTAGGCTAAGTTTAAAATAACATGCCATGTAGCCCGATAAAAGAATTAAGCCAATTTTCACAACTGTGTTTTTTGTTGTTGTTGTGGTTTGCGTGTGAATGCTTATGTTCACTTTTGTGACACACCTTGGAATGACTTGCATATGCAGTAGATAAAAAATTAAAAAAAAGATTAGCCATGACCTACCGGTAGACATGGGCTATATATTTCCACCCTTTCCAGGCACTTGCGGGTTTATTTCTGTAGAGTCAGGACTCAGAGTTTGTTTACTGGTCTGATTGTGCGGCCAGTTTACCACAGTACATTTGTAGGGACGGATTGGACAGCCTCTCTTTCTTTGAGCTTTCAGGGTGTTTGGGGAGTGAGAGGGGGATGGGGGACTGTGATTGTCAGGGATTGCACAACAGTGAAACAAGGAATGTTGCCCTCTGGAACCAAAAAATATTTCAGCTGCAAATACAGAGTGGGCTGAGGTGGGAATGGGGAAAGAAATACAAAGAAAGCCAAGAGTAAACATTTAATTATAAGTTTTACCTTTGCCGCTGTGTTTTGATACTGATGTGTCTCTGGAAAGAAAAGCAAAACCAATAGAGTATCATAAATAGCAAAAATAACCTTGTGCGTCATAATTGCGTAGTCAAATGATCAAGTTATATGATAGGGCTGGATCGTGACAGTGACACGAGAATGGGATCAAAACCACAGGTAGATCATACATCCGAAACTTTGACCCCTGCTAATCTTGCTCTGTGTGATTGGGGTCATGCAAATATTGCTGAGAACGCAGGAACTATAATGTGATTGGACAGAAGCTTGTTGACTTATTTAAACAGGGGATAGTGCACCTTGAACCCTGCCAGACTGTGTGTTTAATGATGGGTCACATTTCAAACTGTTAAGCACACACGATGGCCTTTATACAATATAATTTTTAGAACTCATGTAGGGATAACATAGCTTTTAAGTTGAATGTAAAAAGCATTTAACATGATGCCTATACGTGTTTGTTTGACATCACACAGAGTTTAGGTTACCAGATTGGAGTTGCATGTTTGGGGAGGGAAGTTCAACGAAGGACTGACAGGGAGAGAGAGGAGAATTCCAGGAGAAGCTCCCAGTTTAAGACACTAAACATCTGTTTGAGCTGCCAGCACAGGCATTTGTCTTGTAAAACATTGCAGATATTTCTCAAAGAAGTTGAATGCTGTTCAATATCTTTAAAAAAAAAAAAAAATCTGCCTCTGGGTCTTTATTTTTTAACATAAGAAATCATTTTAAAAAAGCAGACATCCTCATGGCACTTTTTTTTTTTTTACCAAGCATATGACAAAGAGTACAACACAAATAATCAGGACTAACCTTTGGGATGATACGTTTTATAAGGTCTATAAGGTTTTTGAAAGAATCCATTTTGAAAGAATCCATTGTAACACCAATTTATTATCCCTTGTGAGGCCACACAACATCACATCTTGAGGATGACCTTCTTTTTTTAGTTTGGGAGAATGTGGATCAGTTGTGAAAGGAAGTGGAGTTTGAGGCATGGGGCCAAGAGGGCAAATTGACCAGAATAAAGTCAATAAATTACAATCATGATGACAGTACCATGCTACTGTTTTTTCCTGGAAACAGTGATGCAATAGATCGTACTGGAATAGACAAGAATTGTCTTTAATGTGTGATGTGGTGGAAAGAAAATAAACTCAGATCTCCAGTGTTTAGCGTCACTTAATCAAATAAATAAAACATGTGCTATATAAATGTAGAACATTTGATGCCCTTTCATGGGTGTTCTTCGTGTTAGTACAAAGTGCTGAAAGAATTGGCCTTACACTTTAATGTAAAGTATTCTTTGAAAATACATATCCTTATTTCTTTCACTTAAGGGAAAATATAGATACATTCATGGAAACCTAAAAAAAACTACTCTCCTATTTCTGACGGGTTTAGCCTATTATTGCGTTATTAGTATTATAAGCAGCATTTCTCTGTTGTAGCAGGTCACGATGAAGCTTTAATTGTATACTCCTGACAAAGTTAATTAAATGATCAGTAGGCCCTCCTGAGAAAAATGAAATTGGTGGCATTTTTTTTCTCATCCATTTAGCTCTAGCCTATACCTCCTTGTTTTGTAAAGAGAGATAAACAAATTATAGACTTCCTTTAAAAGGCTGAACTGTGATGGTGCTTGACAATATTCTTTCTGATTAAGACTTGTGAAAATGCATTATAAAGGAAGAGAACAGTGACGTGGAAAGAAGACTGAGATATGATGATATATAAACACTTCATAGATTGAACAAAATGGAAACAATGCATACAAACAATAATGAATGAATTAAGTGTTCTGTTTTGTTTTAATTCATGTTTTGTGAAAGAGGGGCAGATATTATCAGATTAATCTTCTTTCTGCTCCTTTTCATTCAAAATTTGAGATTTTATGTTTGTTTGTTTTTTCTTAACTTTATTGTTTCTTTGAGTGAAATAAAATTGACAACTAAAGAAAATAAAAATAAACATTGTAGCTGTTATTAGAGTGCACTAATAACTTCATAATACACATAATTCATCTAAATCTTTTTTTTTTTTTTTTTTTACAAATACTCATTCTTATAAATAGCTGTGTTTAGGCAGTTAGCTGGTCCAATCATTGTAATGTACATGTATTATATTTTTCAGTGTTTTCACTTCTACGTAAAATCCCCAACTTTAGGTCTTAATAAATATATGAATCAAATATTTTTTTTTACACAAAAATGCTAGGCCTTAATGTTGCCTATTTTCTATGTAGCCTTTATCTCTTAATTTCACGACGTTTATGAAAAAAAATGCATTAAATGGGTGTTTTTCCCTGTAATAGTCATCGTTTAAATGTTGAATAGTGATAATCGGCGTCACTAAGCAATAGTTTTCAGTGATAGTGTGCGTGTGTTGTAATTGTGTCTCTGAACCACTGGGCGAGTCTCTCTCTCCCACTCTCTCCCACTCTCTCTCTCTCTCTCTCTCTGTGTGAATAGGAGGGGAGATGCTGGATTCAGGAGTAGGTCCGCCATTATTGGGAAGCTGAAAAAAATAGACTTAAACACACCGTCACACATTAAGCTTGTACGGGGCTTTACAGTAGAAAGAAAAACACAGCGGGGGTTCGACACGCTGTTGGACACTAAACAGCGACGCGTAACCTAATGATGGCAGAGGCTGTTTATCGCGTTTCAAACGGACTCTTTTATTTTTTGACACAACAAAGGAAATAATATTGGTCAAAACAACGTGGTGGCTGAACCAAGAAGGGGGAAAAACACACCGAAACAGCGCTTTCCGACGCCTCCTCCTCCTCCCCCCCCACCTTTCTCCTCTCGCCTTGCCGTGGTGAAAACTGGAGTTTGAGCAACATTTTTTTTTCTTTCCTGACGACAATTTGGTTGCTTTTGCCCCTCTCTCATCTCATTCAGAGACAGAGAAAGAGCGATATGAACCTCGTTTCTGAAAACTTCAGACTGGTGGAAGCGACCACGTAATGTTGGGAGCAGTGTGCGCAGCAGAGCCTGTTCGCTGAAACAAAAGCGGAAAAATAATCAATGTGAGTGCTGGTGGGAAGTGTTTTCGTCTGTTTTTTAAAAAAGTCTTTCACCGGCTGTGAGTCGCAGAGAGAAAGAAAGGAGTGGACGAAAAGCTGGGGACAGAGAGGAATGCTATGGTATGTAGCATTAACTCTTCTTTTACAACACATTGTACAAGTGAATGGACATTTTAATAGACTAAACAAGGCTTGAGAGGACATGGCAGTAAGGGCTATTTTAATGCGTCAGCTTCTTCCTTCATTCTACTTGGGCTAATTTGAAGTGCTGTGAATATGAAGAAACTGGGAGTCAACCTCAGCTCCCTGAGTGCTGCTCTGGTTAAAAGCCTTTTATTGTAAAAAAAAATATATATATATATATTTCCAGTGAGTATGGCTGGGTGTTTAGAAAATAAAACCGGTTCCTATATGCAGGGTTGCTTTAATTGCCCTGTGCAATTTTAAATGGGAAGTTTGCAGAGAGAGAGGAAAAAAAAAAAGGAGGTCATAATGGATATTGTCCAGACACATTAAAACTGTTTAGCCTACATCAACACCTGGAAAACATTTGTCATTGAGAAACTCCTTGAATGTAAGTAGTTTAAAGGCTTGCAGTGTTTGGGTTGGACTCACAGGAGGACTGAAGCTACAGTTTGATGCCGCGTCTGCATGTTTTGTTCTTTAATCAATGTGCGGATAAACTCCTGTAAAATGAAAAAACTACAGCTAAGCAGGCATTTTTATGTTGTCTAATCTGTGCGCTTCACAGGTAGTTAACTATCTGTAACATTTTTAGCTGTCCAGAACAGATTTAGGTCATGACATCAAAAACAACTTTAGTGAGGAGTAATTATTTCGCCTCTCATTAAATGTCCCACTAACATCAAAGCTGCATGTACAGGGCTTCCTGGTGGCACAGTCAGCTAATGCGCCTTACGCCCTGTAGGGAGGTGACAGGATGTGCAGTGAATGTCTCGCCATTTTTCCACCAATTAGATATCTCAGGTGGAGATATTTAACTCGCCTCTGTT